ACGCTAATGCTAACAGCGAACGCTAATGCTAACAGCGAACGCTAATGCTAACAGCGAACGCTAATGCTAACAGCGAACGCTAATGCTAACAGCGAACGCTAATGCTAACAGCGAACGCTAATGCTAACAGCGAACGCTAATGCTAACAGCGAACGCTAATGCTAACAGCGAACGCTAATGCTAACAGCGAACGCTAATGCTAACAGCGAACGCTAATGCTAACAGCGAACGCTAATGCTAACAGCGAACGCTAATGCTAACAGCGAACGCTAATGCTAACAGCGAACGCTAAGCTAACGCGAACGCTAACAGCGAACGCTAATGCTAACAGCGAACGCTAATGCTAACAGCGAACGCTAATGCTAACAGCGAACGCTAATGCTAACAGCGAACGCTAATGCTAACAGCGAACGCTAATGCTAACAGCGAACGCTAATGCTAACAGCGAACGCTAATGCTAACAGCGAACGCTAATGCTAACAGCGAACGCTAATGCTAACAGCGAACGCTAATGCTAACAGCGAACGCTAATGCTAACAGCGAACGCTAATGCTAACAGCGAACGCTAATGCTAACAGCGAACGCTAATGCTAACAGCGAACGCTAATGCTAACAGCGAACGCTAATGCTAACAGCGAACGCTAATGCTAACAGCGAACGCTAATGCTAACAGCGAACGCTAATGCTAACAGCGAACGCTAATGCTAACAGCGAACGCTAATGCTAACAGCGAACGCTAATGCTAACAGCGAACGCTAATGCTAACAGCGAACGCTAATGCTAACAGCGAACGCTAATGCTAACAGCGAACGCTAATGCTAACAGCGAACGCTAATGCTAACAGCGAACGCTAATGCTAACAGCGAACGCTAATGCTAACAGCGAACGCTAATGCTAACAGCGAACGCTAATGCTAACAGCGAACGCTAAGCTAACAGCGAGCGAACGCGAACGCTAATGCTAACAGCGAACGCTAATGCTAACAGCGAACGCTAATGCTAACAGCGAACGCTAATGCTAACAGCGAACGCTAATGCTAACAGCGAACGCTAATGCTAACAGCGAACGCTAATGCTAACAGCGAACGCTAATGCTAACAGCGAACGCTAATGCTAACAGCGAACGCTAATGCTAACAGCGAACGCTAATGCTAACAGCGAACGCTAATGCTAACAGCGAACGCTAATGCTAACAGCGAACGCTAATGCTAACAGCGAACGCTAATGCTAACAGCGAACGCTAATGCTAACGCGAACGCTAATGCTAACAGCGAACGCTAATGCTAACAGCGAACGCTAATGCTAACAGCGAACGCTAATGCTAACAGCGAACGCTAATGCTAACAGCGAACGCTAATGCTAACAGCGAACGCTAATGCTAACAGCGAACGCTAATGCTAACAGCGAACGCTAATGCTAACAGCGAACGCTAATGCTAACAGCGAACGCTAATGCTAACAGCGAACGCTAATGCTAACAGCGAACGCTAATGCTAACAGCGAACGCTAATGCTAACAGCGAACGCTAATGCTAACAGCGAACGCTAATGCTAACAGCGAACGCTAATGCTAACAGCGAACGCTAATGCTAACAGCGAACGCTAATGCTAACAGCGAACGCTAATGCTAACAGCGAACGCTAATGCTAACAGCGAACGCTAATGCTAACAGCGAACGCTAATGCTAACAGCGAACGCTAATGCTAACAGCGAACGCTAATGCTAACAGCGAACGCTAATGCTAACAGCGAACGCTAATGCTAACAGCGAACGCTAATGCTAACAGCGAACGCTAATGCTAACAGCGAACGCTAATGCTAACAGCGAACGCTAATGCTAACAGCGAACGCTAATGCTAACAGCGAACGCTAATGCTAACAGCGAACGCTAATGCTAACAGCGAACGCTAATGCTAACAGCGAACGCTAATGCTAACAGCGAACGCTAATGCTAACAGCGAACGCTAATGCTAACAGCGAACGCTAATGCTAACAGCGAACGCTAATGCTAACAGCGAACGCTAATGCTAACAGCGAACGCTAATGCTAACAGCGAACGCTACAGCGAACGCTAATGCTAACAGCGAACGCTAATGCTAACAGCGAACGCTAATGCTAACAGCGAACGCTAATGCTAACAGCGAACGCTAATGCTAACAGCGAACGCTAATGCTAACAGCGAACGCTAATGCTAACAGCGAACGCTAATGCTAACAGCGAACGCTAATGCTAACAGCGAACGCTAATGCTAACAGCGAACGCTAATGCTAACAGCGAACGCTAATGCTAACAGCGAACGCTAATGCTAACAGCGAACGCTAATGCTAACAGCGAACGCTAATGCTAACAGCGAACGCTAATGCTAACAGCGAACGCTAATGCTAACAGCGAACGCTAATGCTAACAGCGAACGCTAATGCTAACAGCGAACGCTAATGCTAACAGCGAACGCGCTACACGAACGCTAATGCTAACAGCGAACGCTAATGCTAACAGCGACGCTAATGCTAACAGCGAACGCTAATGCTAACAGCGAACGCTAATGCTAACAGCGAACGCTAATGCTAACAGCGAACGCTAATGCTAACAGCGAACGCTAATGCTAACAGCGAACGCTAATGCTAACAGCGAACGCTAATGCTAACAGCGAACGCTAATGCTAACAGCGAACGCTAATGCTAACAGCGAACGCTAATGCTAACAGCGAACGCTAATGCTAACAGCGAACGCTAATGCTAACAGCGAACGCTAATGCTAACAGCGAACGCTAATGCTAACAGCGAACGCTAATGCTAACAGCGAACGCTAATGCTAACAGCGAACGCTAATGCTAACAGCGAACGCTAATGCTAACAGCGAACGCTAATGCTAACAGCGAACGCTAATGCTAACAGCGAACGCTAATGCTAACAGCGAACGCTAATGCTAACAGCGAACGCTAATGCTAACAGCGAACGCTAATGCTAACAGCGAACGCTAATGCTAACAGCGAACGCTAATGCTAACAGCGAACGCTAATGCTAACAGCGAACGCTAATGCTAACAGCGAACGCTAATGCTAACAGCGAACGCTAATGCTAACAGCGAACGCTAATGCTAACAGCGAACGCTAATGCTAACAGCGAACGCTAATGCTAACAGCGAACGCTAATGCTAACAGCGAACGCTAATGCTAACAGCGAACGCTAATGCTAACAGCGAACGCTAATGCTAACAGCGAACGCTAATGCTAACAGCGAACGCTAATGCTAACAGCGAACGCTAATGCTAACAGCGAACGCTAATGCTAACAGCGAACGCTAATGCTAACAGCGAACGCTAATGCTAACAGCGAACGCTAATGCTAACAGCGAACGCTAATGCTAACAGCGAACGCTAATGCTAACAGCTAACAGCGAACGCTAATGCTAACAGCGAACGCTAATGCTAACAGCGAACGCTAATGCTAACAGCGAACGCTAATGCTAACAGCGAACGCTAATGCTAACAGCGAACGCTAATGCTAACAGCGAACGCTAATGCTAACAGCGAACGCTAATGCTAACAGCGAACGCTAATGCTAACAGCGAACGCTAATGCTAACAGCGAACGCTAATGCTAACAGCGAACGCTAATGCTAACAGCGAACGCTAATGCTAACAGCGAACGCTAACGCTAACAGCGAACGCTAACGCTAACAACACTTCACGGGGGAACTTTGGTGATATGGTCATTTAATGTTGTACATGTGGGGAACTAATAATTGACCGGAGTTTATGGATGGCTGAGGCTGGGCTAAGGCTTCGATGTTGTGTTGTCTGTTGTTGTTTCTCAAAGCTAAGCCAAGGTAATGCGCAGTTATTGCCACAAAATGCGGCCGTATTTCTACAACAGCTGGGGATTTTTAACTAGCTAACTTGGTGAAAACCCGCATTACAGTCTCAGGCAACAATATGTATAAATAATACAACTACTACTGCCACTACTGAGTAACATGCTCACCTGTTCAGTCGGAGAGAGGAATCCACGGAGCTAGAGGTCGCCAACATGAATGCAGCTGGTCACCATGTTGCTCCTACTTTTTGTCGTTCCTCTGTTTCTGGCGTTTTGCCTGTATTTAATAAATCCATCCATGTATTTAGTCTGCAGCAGCAGCGCTGGAGGCGGCTTTTCCTTCTCCGCCATGTTTGTTTTGAAGAGTGCGCGTGCACACACGGGAGAAACCCCTTATAAGGCGTGCTCTCTCGTCATTGGATAAGCGCATAGGATGTGAGGTTTTTTTATTAAATATGTGGGAGAAGACTGGAAGGACTGAGAGATCCGTGTTTAGGTACAAACACTCTATATAAGTGATGGCTATTGGAATATATCAATATTTAAGACGTATATTAACACCCAAAAATCGCTTACTGCTGCTTTAAGCTTAATTATTCTTTAAGGAAGAGCTCACATTTGTTCTTTTATTGATACCATGGTGAGCACAGAACCATGTTGTTCTCTGACTTTGAAAACTAAACACAGTTTTAAAGAGGGGAGCATGCTCCCCTCAGACTAGGATGTCAAAGTGTGTTTGTTAAAAACATTTCAGCCCTGTTCTCTTCTGAGGCTGCTGCATTTACCCCTCACCAAAACAAGGTCTGCCTTGGGCCGGGTTTATGTTTTTCTCAGGTCATTCATGCTGATATTTATGCAGCTTTATAACATCCAGAGCAGAGCATAAGGGCTGTACTGGAACAACATCCATTTATAAGAACAAACAAAAGTTGGGTACCTCAGCTTTAAGCCCGGCTGGTGAACCCGAGAGGAGCAGAACCAGTATTATGCAATTCCCCATTCAGCTCATACCTTGTGAATAAGTCGGATTTTAAAAGATATGGCTGCACCTTGTATGTCACCCCGTTTCTTAAAACATTAGTTAAGGTGGCAGGCTCTTAGCAGGAAAGAACTCTGGGGACCCTGGTAAAGTGGTGTACTTTAATGTCATGTGGTTTGGTGCTGTTGCCTGATGTGGACTGTGTGTGGCAGTGTCCAAGGCGCTGCAGGACTTTGACCAGGCTCTGAGAGGGAAGAAGAAGAGGACTCAGTTCGTGAAGGACTCCAAGAGAAAAGACATTACTGTGAGTGAGATCAGCACAGCACAAAAAGTACTCATGCCCCTGGATGTTACCGCCACAAACATGTGAAAGAGCAACGTACACCGGGAGCACACTAAATATTCAATATAAGTAGCTGCTTTGTTCTTAGTTAGCTTCAATATAATATAATATAAATAAATATATATATGTATGAAATATATATATAATTACACAACAAAAATATAAACGCAACACCTTTGTCTTTGCATGGAAGTGCTCTTTCACGTAGAATATCGTTGGTCATACAGAATCAAAGTGTGGTAAGGTTTAGTGTAAAAACAAAGTGAACAGTGCGTCTGAATGTCCCCCACAGGGAGAGGAGCGCGCTCAGTTCGAGATCCTCAAGGCTCAGATGTTTGCAGAGCGCGCCGCCAAGAGGGACCGCCGTCCCAAACGAGCGCGCGCCATGGCGGAGGAGCCGACCCCTGAGCCAGGTCAGTGTGTGTGAGGAACCCCCCGCTCACTCTCTCTCACTCACTCCACTTCACTCTCTCTTCTGGCCACCCTGGGAAAGCCATGTTCCAGCTTCTTCCCTCTGGCAGAAGATATCGCTCTCTGAGATGCAGGACATCTCGTTACGCTAACAGTTTTTATCCACAGGCTGTTATCAGTGTGAACAGAGCACTTTAATGATTTGCACTTGTTTTGAAACTGTTTTAGTCGATCGATTTCACAGTGACATTTGTTTACTGTTTTATTTGTTTTATTTCTGTCTTTTAATGTTGTTTTATGTCTGTATTTGTCTGTGCACACTGGAGACTTTTGCTAATGTATTCCAATGTGTTTTTTTTTTTACTGCAAATGGCAAATAATCTGAATCTGAATCTCGCTCACTCTCACTCATTCCTGTGTCCAGGAGCCAAGCACAAGGCCAAAGGAGGGAAGAAGTCTGTGTTTGACAAGGAGCTGACCAACACCAGCGGACGCCTGCTCAAACAGTATCGGGCCGGGTCAGTGCGTTTTATGTTTTCACCGAGGAGCTGCTAACCACTGCCTCTGTGCTGCCTCTGTGCACCCTCTGCAGTCTGAGCGGAGCCTGCAGGGCCTGGTTCTTGTCCTGGTTCAGACTTGGTTCACTGCAGCCTAGTCACTGTTTTCCTCTGACCCTTAGACCGTCCTTTGAAGATCGGAAACGCCTGGGTCTAAATCGCAAACCACAGGCCAAAGGACTCAGGTGGGTGTGTGTGTGTGTGTGTGTGTGTGCGATCAGGGAAGAGAAACGACTCTGTGTGTGTGTGTGTTCACTCAGCTTCTGTTCACTCACTTTCTATTGTTTTCTTCCAGGAGAGGAGGTGGAGGAGGAGGTGGAAGAGGTGGAGGTGGAAGAGAAGGAGGAGGAGGCGGAGGAAGAGGAGGAAGAGAAGGAGGAAGAGGAGGAGGAAGAGAAGGAGGAAGAGAAGGGGGAAGAGGCGGCGGAAGAGGAAGAGGAGGAGGAAGAGGGTAAACTGTTCTAATGCTGTTATATGTATGGAAAGTAAAGTCCCTTTTGATTGGGCTTCACGTGTTCTGTCAGAGCCAAACTGTTGTGATACTTCCAACACACTTTCAGATCCTTCTTTTAAAAAGGATTTTCTTCTCAGGTTCAAAAAGAAGTGAAGAAGTGACAGTGTTGCCTCCGTCGCCGTTTCAGGATCATGTGTGTTTCATGTGTTTTGTAACATGTGGGAATGAGACTGGTGGAAAAGACTTCTCATCCTGGAGCCTGAGATGAGCCACAGACTGTCGAACCTTTTTTATTGCCCTGTATCTTTGTAAAGAAAAGTACTCTTAATAAATCGTTGATAAAATGTGTTTATTCCCTGTGGTCCTCCCTGTAGTGAAGTACTTAAAGGAAAACAAAACCCCAAATCAACTTTTTTTTAAACTCATAAACTGCATAAATGTTTCTTATGGTGCTCTCTACATATCCTGTTTTTTTTTTTGACATTTTATCTCAGAATCTCACTTTTGAGCCTAAAGCCGTCTGTGGCGCCCTCTGTACCTTTAGTGGCACATTTTAATTTTGTGCCTGGCCTCTCCATTGGCTCTGGAGTGATGTGTGACGTCAGTTTGTACTGTGTGAGGTGCGTCTCTGCCTCAGTGATATAAACCCATCCAACTCTCACACGCCCCAGCAGTAAGTTGTATTCTGGCGACATCTAGTGGATTAAAATTAGATTACATCAGTGGCTCAGTTCGGGTGTGTAAATGGAATGAGACTTTGTGGTGTATAAACTATTGCATTAAGCAATCACAACTGTCTTTTTTTTTTTGTGACCAGTGAGCTGTCAATCACAGCCCAGACCACGCCCAACTCTAAGCCCTGTGTGCCCTGGTCCTTCAGGCAACGCCCTTTTTAGAGAAAGTTTTCAGATGTTCATGTGGGCAGAGTTAAGCAAGGCACAGGTGTTTAGTTGATCGGTAAATTATTTACTAGATTTCAATTATGCAAAACTAACAATGAAAAGGTGACAAACTTCAAGTCAAAATAAATGTTTTGAATTCTCTCCATACCTTCTGATCGGCTAATTTATTCAAGAGTCTAGAATCATGGAATTCTTGCACACCATTAGTTACGTGCTTTGTTTTAAAATTATGTTCTGCTTGATTGTTTGAAGACAAAGTATGTTTTATGAGCAGACCACTTAACCAAAAAGATACCGTCAGGGGAAGTGGTGTACCAAAAGAAAAGGAAAGTTTGTCAAACGTATTCGCCACCATAATTCTCAAATACGTTACTTTATTTTGACTCATCGTTAGATGGTCATACCCTGCTCAGACACTTGGACATTCTGGACAATATCCAACAGATTTAATTAAGCAATAAACAATATATTTTTGTGCAGTTTGAAAATACACTATCAAAAAACTTTAAATCTAATGCTCACATTTTCCAAATAGTTGTCTTCCTACACCAGTCAAATGGAACTGATCGACCGTGTTTCACAACCTATAGAACTATATTTTATACTCACTACATTTAAAAGATCTGATTTTACATATAAAGAGCTGCTCATTTGTTTGTCTGAAAAATGTATTTTCAGACTGTTTGTTGTTGAGAAACACTCCAAAAAATACATGTAAAAAGTAGTGATGCCAGGGAACTAGGAACTACTGACATATTAATATACCAAATTATTTTTCAATTGGTTTGAAAATTAGTTTTGTTCAACTTCTGGCTTTGAGAACTTAAACGAAACAAATAAGGGAAAGAAGAAAATTCTTTATTCAAAGTACAAAGCAGCAATTTACATTTGAAAGGAGCAAAGTTAGACGTCTTTCAGTCTGTCATCGTGTGGCAGAACGATAGACTAACCAGACATTATCTGTTCATTATCGTTTCTTGTGAGATCCATCTGCATGTGAAAAGGAGAAGTCCGACATCAGGAGGCTGTAGGGGGCGCTGCTTTGCTGCACAGCCTGGCCACAAGCCCCGCCATCTGCAGCAGAGAGTTCACCCCCTCGGCCACTCGCACGTGGGTGTATCCAATCTCCTGCCACAGAAACATCTGCATTATTAGAATGTTGCTGTGAGACATAAGAGTTGGGGCCAATTTTGCTATTTTTGGTCCGAAAATAGCAGGAATTAGCAACATGCATGTATAGTACATTCTATTAATCATATTCTATGTGTTCTATATTATTTTGTGTTTAAACTGTTTGATTCTCTGATCTGTGTAGGCAATTTCAATGGTTTTGTTAAGTTTGTTAAGATTACTACTGTTGTGATTTAGGGCTATACAAGAATACATTTCATTGAAAGTTATATTCGTTTGTGGATTGAAAAATATGTATCCCAGCCCATTATCTGGCATACTTTTGACACAAATGTCTATAAGATATGCTTTATTTATCTCACAGGGGAGAAATTGTCACATTTGGCATGGATAGAGACACTAAAAAGTGTCAATAGTAGTGCAGGTTCTTTCAGTCTTATACAGTGACTTAAAGTGACTTGTTGTACAGTCTGACAGTATGTTCTGTTGCCATGGCCGCAGTACCTTGATGAACTCCAACTTGAGGTACTCTGGCATACTGTAGGTCTTGCACACTCTGAAGACGTTGCCGATGATGTCCTCAGGCGAGTAGCCCAGCCTCCACAGCTGCTCCATGACGCGGTACGCCTCGTCCACCTGGCCCTGGACGCAGCTTCCCAGCATGCCCTTGACCAGCAGGGGGTGTGGCTCGTCACACACCTTAAACACGTTGTGGCTGTTGACGAAGCCAAAGCCTGCGTGTGTGGACTGCAGGTTGTTCAGCGCCTGGGGCAGAGGATGTAGTGTTTAGCTCCTTTTGAACCTTTTCCATGGTACAACTTGAAAAGAAGCACGCTAATGCAAGCCCTAGCTAAGATTGTGTATAAGACTTATTTCTGTCCATCCATCCATCCATTTTCTACCCTTTAATCCATTTCTGGGTCAGGGGGGTGGCAGTCAGAGATGCCACCCAAGTCTCATAGCACCAGCCCCTCACTGACCCTCTGCAGGTGGTGAGTCCACAGGAGGACGGCTGCTCTCTGAGTGTGAGCATAGCCTTGATCTTTCAGTGGGGGCTTTTGGGCAAAGTGGGGTTAAGTGTCTTGCCCAAGGACACAACGACAGCAGTCATCAGTGGGAGTCGGTGGAGAAGGTGTGGAGGTGGGAATTGAACCCACGACCTTCAGGCCTGAAGGCCAGTGCTCTACCAACTGAGCTACTGTCGCCCCTGTTTTACCGGACTGTTATTTCTGTCCGGTAAAACAGAAATAAATTAAGCATTATTTTGGCTTTGACTAAATAGATAAGAGAAGACAGAGCAAAATAACCACAATTCTGTAAGATACTGACACCACTTCCTGGGCAGTCTAAGGCTTGGCGCTCAGTGGAACATTGGGTTCACTGCGGCCTGCCTTGGAGGTAAACTAATATAGGTTTGCTGTGACCGATGCCTAATACAGTCTTAATATTGATTTGCGGTTATATGAATATTTTAACGGCAAATTTATCACGCAATTAATTTGTGTGACCTTTTATACTACCAGAAACAAGAACCGGAACGCCCCTGATGCTACTGGTGGTTGAGATGTCTGACTGGGGCTATGTTGGCACCTGTCTCATGTCTCCCTGTGCAGTGAAGATGACCGCCTCCAGGCCGTCATCGGTCACACTCAGGCCCTCCTGCTGCACCACTTCCTGCAGTCGTGTCAGTATTTGGCCATCGCTCAATTTGGCGTAGCGCAGCACGGCACAGCGTGACTGGATGGGCTCGATGATACGGTCCGAGGCGTTGCAGGCCAGGGCAAAGCGTGTGGTCTTGGAGTAGATCTCCATGATGCGGCGCAGGGCCTGCTGGGCGCCGTCTGTCATGCTGAGCACACACAGAACACATGACCCACACACACCAGTATTCAGCAGAGACTATGAACCAGACACCAGTATCCAGCAGAGACCATGACCCACACACACCAGTATCCAGCAGAGACCATGACCCACACACACCAGTATCCAGCAGAGACCATGACACACACACACACCAGTATTCAGCAGAGACTATGAACCAGACACCAGTATCCAGCAGAGACCATGACCCACACACACCAGTATCCAGCAGAGACCATGACCCACACACACCAGTATCCAGCAGAGACCATGACCCACACACACCAGTATCCAGCAGAGACCATGACACACACACACACCAGTATTCAGCAGAGACTATGAACCAGACACCAGTATCCAGCAGAGACCATGACCCACACACACCAGTATCCAGCAGAGACCATGACCCACACACACCAGTATCCAGCAGAGACCATGACACACACACACACCAGTATTCAGCAGAGACTATGAACCAGACACCAGTATCCAGCAGAGACCATGACCCACACACACCAGTATCCAGCAGAAACCATGACCCACACACCAGTATCCAGCAGAGACCATGACCCACACACCAGTATCCAGCAGAGACTATGAACCAGACACCAGTATCCAGCAGAGACTATGAACCAGACACCAGTATTCAGCAGAGACTATGAACCAGACACACCAGTATTCAGCAGAGACTATGAACCAGACACCAGTATTCAGCAGAGACTATGAACCAGACACCAGTATCCAGCAGAGACCATGACACACACACACACCAGTATTCAGCAGAGACCATGAACCAGACACCAGTATCCAGCAGAGACTATGACACACACACACCAGTATTTAGCAGAGACTATGAAGCAGACACCAGTATCCAGCAGAGACCATGACACACACACACCAGTATCCAGCAGAGACCATGACACACACACCAGTATCCAGCAGAGACCATGACACACACACCAGTATCCAGCAGAGACCATGACACACACACACACCAGTATTTAGCAGAGACTATGAAGCAGACACCAGTATCCAGCAGAGACCATGACACACACACACCAGTATTCAGCAGAGACCATGACACACACACCAGTATCCAGCAGAGACCATGACACACACACACACACCAGTATTCAGCAGAGACCATGAACCAGACACCAGTATCCAGCAGAGACTATGACACACACACACCAGTATTTAGCAGAGACTATGAAGCAGACACCAGTATCCAGCAGAGACCATGACACACACACACCAGTATTCAGCAGAGACCATGACCCACACACCAGTATCCAGCAGAGACCATGACCCACACACCAGTATCCAGCAGAGACTATGAACCAGACACCAGTATCCAGCAGAGACTATGAACCAGACACCAGTATTCAGCAGAGACTATGAACCAGACACACCAGTATTCAGCAGAGACTATGAACCAGACACCAGTATTCAGCAGAGACTATGAACCAGACACCAGTATCCAGCAGAGACCATGACACACACACACACCAGTATTCAGCAGAGACCATGAACCAGACACCAGTATCCAGCAGAGACTATGACACACACACACCAGTATTTAGCAGAGACTATGAAGCAGACACCAGTATCCAGCAGAGACCATGACACACACACACCAGTATCCAGCAGAGACCATGACACACACACCAGTATCCAGCAGAGACCATGACACACACACCAGTATCCAGCAGAGACCATGACACACACACACACCAGTATTTAGCAGAGACTATGAAGCAGACACCAGTATCCAGCAGAGACCATGACACACACACACCAGTATTCAGCAGAGACCATGACACACACACCAGTATCCAGCAGAGACCATGACACACACACACACCAGTATTCAGCAGAGACAATGAACCAGACACCAGTATCCAGCAGAGACTATGACACACACACACCAGTATTTAGCAGAGACTATGAAGCAGACACCAGTATCCAGCAGAGACCATGACACACACACACCAGTATTCAGCAGAGACCATGACACACACACCAGTATTCAGCAGAGACTATGAACCAGACACCAGTATTCAGCAGAGACTATGAACCAGACACCAGTATTCAGCAGAGACTATGAACCAGACACCAGTATCCAGCAGAGACCATGACACACACACCAGTATCCAGCAGAGACCATGACACACACACCAGTATCCAGCAGAGACCATGACACACACACACCAGTATTCAGCAGAGACTATGAACCAGACACCAGTATCCAGCAGAGACCATGACACACACACACCAGTATTCAGCAGAGACCATGAACCAGACACCAGTATCCAGCAGAGACTATGACACACACACACACCAGTATTTAGCAGAGACTATGAAGCAGACACCAGTATCCAGCAGAGACCATGACACACACACCAGTATCCAGCAGAGACCATGACACACACACCAGTATCCAGCAGAGACCATGACACACACACACCAGTATCCAGCAGAGACCATGACACACACACCAGTATCCAGCAGAGACCATGACACACACACACCAGTATTCAGCAGAGACCATGACACACACACCAGTATCCAGCAGAGACCATGACCCACACACCAGTATTCAGCAGAGACTATGAACCAGACACCAGTATTCAGCAGAGACTATGAACCAGACACCAGTATTCAGCAGAGACTATGAACCAGACACCAGTATTCAGCAGAGACTATGAACCAGACACCAGTATTCAGCAGAGACTATGAACCAGACACCAGTATTCAGCAGGGGAGCACTCACCTGTCGGCCTCGTCGAGGATTATGATCTTATGGCGTCCTTTTGGCAGAGTCACCTTTTGTTGAGCAAACATCTTGATTTTGTTTCGAACTACATCAATACCTCTGCAACAGGAAACATGAGTTACTTTAGGAGTGAAGAGACAGTTCTCACAGAAAAATCAGCGCATGAACATGAGGACCCAATAAAAGACTATTGTCTCAGGAAAACAACCATTATATAGAATAGTATTTTTTACATTTAATAACTAGCCTTCAAATACATCTCTTCTATATATTTGGCCCAGTTGTGGTTGAATCCAAACTCATGTCAAATACAGTCAACTTCTCAAAAGACAAATGTAAAAAACAAACTACTACTTCATACTATACTTATAGCCCCAACCAGCTCCTATGCATTAACCCCCCCTTTCTCTTAGTCATTATGACAGTTGAGTACTTTATGAATGCATTGTCAATTAAACAACCAACATGGTCTTAAGTGAAAAAGAAAATCAACACGCATTTACTTTAGAGGCATAAAGATTCAGATTCAAAATTGAAAAAAAATACTGGGGCATTTGTTTGTCGCAGAGGTTTCTTGCGTTAGCGTTGAATGACCCAAGAAGAGAGTATTAGGAACATTTTGGAAATTCAAAATGGCCTCAAACATTGATATGTTTTTTTGTTTACATAAAGGGCCCCACGCACCTGTCGTTGGAGGCATTGAGCTCCAGCACGGCGTCCTTCATGGATGCTCCCAGCAGAGCCCGGGACAGACACAGGATGCTGGTGGTTTTACCGGTGCCAGGGGGGCCTGGGGACAAAACAAATCATTAGAGTGCACCGCTGCTCTCACAATCCATTAATCCAATCCCTTAGGAAGCAAAACGCTAAGTATTTGGATTGACTAATACAGGCTACTCAATCTTTGCATGCTTTTCTTCTTGCTTTTGTTATGATCTTCCTCAGATTTATGTCTGTGTTTACTGTTCGGAACATCACATTTGGTTCATGATGCAGATGTGATTCATGATCACGTAACGACCATGTTGTCTCATAGGAGATCAGGAAATAAAGACATACTTAATTTATCAGTTTAGAAATATTGTAGATGGAACAAAGTGTACATCAGTCTTTGTGCAGTATGTTCTTGTGTTGTGTGGCTCATGTTATAAACGTCACTTATAACTGCACTGTGGGTGCTTTCTGTTCTGTTCTTCTGAGGATGCGCTGTCAGAATGAGTTGTGCAGCAGTCGTTTGAAGACCCAGGATGAGAAGGCACAAATTTGAACACGTTTTTATTATTTGATATTGTTGTATTTATTTACTGAATGAGAAAAATGTGGCAATATAGACCAGAGTAGTAGAGCAGAGTCATCATCAGAAGGGAAAAACATTCACTCAACTGAACAAACATTCGGATCATTCAATTGATCAAATAATTTGTACATAGGAAATGTTTTGGCCAATTTCTTATTATTTCTAGGTTAAATCTCCACCTTGAGTGACATATTAAATTAAGAAAATGTGTCAAACTGAGGAAAAATGGGTAGAATAATTAGCAACATCTTAAATATGTTAACTGTATTACACACTTTTAAGTACAGGTATATACTATTTATAGCATCTATATACTTTTACATAGATAAGTAAGTATTTAACACGAGTACTTCTGCCCATCTTGTAGTTTGTATCTGTCAGAAGCATAGACTGTATATATTTAGACTGTATATATTTAGACTGTATATATTTAGACTGTATATATATATATATATCAGTCAGAGCCACAGACTGTATATATTTAGACTGTATATATATATATATATCAGTCAGAGCCACAGACTGTATATATTTAGACTGTATATATATATATATATATATATATATATGTATATATATATATATGTATATGTATATATATATATATATATATATATATATATATATTATATACATATACATATATATATATATATATATATATACATATACATATACATATATATATATATATATGTATATGTATATGTATATATATATATGTATATGTATATATATATATATATATATATATATATATATATATATATATATATATACTATATATATATATATATATAATATACATATACATATACATATACATATATATATCATATTATATATATATATATATATATATATATGTATATGTATATGTATATATATATATATATATATATATGTATATATATATATATATATATATAATATACATATACAATATATATATATATATATATATATATATATATACATATATATATATATATATATACATATCATATACATATACATATATATATATATATATATATATACATATACATATATATATATATATACATATACATATACATATATATACTATATATATATATATATATATATATATATATATATCAGTCAGAGCCACAGTGAGTGTCCCACCGGCGATGATGACGTTGGGCACGTTCCCCTCTCGGGCGAACACTTCCAGGCGGCTCACGGTCTCCTCGTTGCCCACGATGTCTCGCAGAAGCAGGGGTCGGTACTTCTCCACCCAGGGCAGCTCGTAGGTGCCTCTCTCTGGGGCTCTGGGCTCCGGGTTAGGGGCAGTGTTGGAGGTAGTGTTGGGGTCTTGTTCCATATCCACCTCCATGTTTAGCGCCTTTCAGACTAATGCTGCTGCGCATGCGCAGGACGGGCCCGCTTCCTGTTTGCGTCTTCTTCTTCTTCGCGTCTATTATGGCAGTTGGCCAGTTTAAAAGAACAATTGCCGCCATGTAGTGTTCCGGGGTATGCGCTGGTGAGTTTAAATTAATACAAAAATAATCCATCCATTTTCTACCCTTTAATCCATTTCTGGGTCAGGGGGGTGGCAGTCAGAGATGCCACCCAAGTCTCATAGCACCAGCCCCTCACTGACCCTCTGCAGGTGGTGAGTCCACAGGAGGACGGCTGCTCTCTGAGTGTGAGCATAGCCTTGATCTTTCAGTGGGGGCTTTGGGCGAAGTGGGGTTAAGTGTCTTGCCCAAGGGCACAACGACAGCAGTCATCAGTGGGAGTCGGTGGAGAAGGTGTGGAGGTGGGAATTGAACCCACGACCTTCAGGCCTGAAGGCCAGTGCTCTACCAACTGAGCTACTGTCGCCCCTGTTTTACCGGACTGTTATTTCTGTCCGGTAAAACAGAAATAAATTAAGCATTATTTTGGCTTTGACTAAATAGATAAGAGAAGACAGAGCAAAATAACCACAATCTTGGAAACCCCTTCACTCCAAACTCTTTCATACTTTCTTCAGAACTCCCCATTCCACTCGATATTATAACAGATCCATGGTTTCACTTCACAACCCCTACGCCGCAAAACAGCACGCTCAACTGTCTCCTCCTCCTCCTGACCATGCTCCTGACACATTTTCATAGACATGTTTGTCTCTGAAATGCACTGTACAACCTCACAAACCCAGCCATACGGAGCAGTGGCACTTTACAAAATTATTCAGTAGAAGTGTATTTAGTAAAAAAAAAAAAAAAAAAACGAATACTAATACTAAACAGAAAATACTGTGGTATTAGTTGGTCATAAATATTTATAGTAAATATTAAAACGAAACAAAAACGTCTCTCCGCCTGCAGAGGGGAGCACTGTCGCCTGTGGCCCGTGTGTGAGGCAGAAGAAGCAGGAGAAGAAGAGGGAGAGGCGGGCTACGGTCCGCGCGGGCTCCCGAGGCCGCCATCTTGGAAAACCCTCACACTGTCCTGCTCCTTCACTGTCCTGCTCCCTCCGCGCCTCCGCCTCTCTGAGCCCACATCCCGTGCTCCTACACCCGCCACTCTCCCGTGCATGTTCCCGGAGCCCCGACCTGGACCTCCGCGTACACCAACACCGTGAACAAGCATCATGTCGACCGCTACACCGAGCCGGGAGGGAGTGCGCTCGGCGGCCTCCTCCACTCCTCTGTCCCCGACCAGGATCTCCCGCCTGCAGGAGAAGCAGGACCTCCAGCAGCTCAATGACCGCCTGGCCGTCTACATAGACCGTGTGAGGGCCCTGGAGTATGAGAACGACCGGCTCATGGTCAAAGTGTCTGAGAAGGAGGAAGTGTCGACCCGGGAGGTGAGTGAGTGTTCTCGGACATGTGTCACAGCCTCAGGCCCTCTGGTTCCGGCCCACTGGTTCCGTGCAGAGTCTGCTGCTCCAGGCCCACAACTATTACCACCACAGGGCGGCACGGTGGCTGAGAAGGTCCTGGGTTCGAATCCCGGTTGGACCAGGGCCTTTCTGAGTGGAGTTTGCATGTTCTCCCTGTGTCTGCGTAGGTTTCCTCCGGGTGCTCCGGTTTCCCCTACCACTAAAAATATGTACAATAGTTCTGGCATGTGCCTCCTGTACTGGCCCCGCTCCCAATAATAACAATTGTAAACCGCTTTGAGACTCCGATGTGCAGTGAAAAGGCGGTATATAAATAAAGATTACTTACTTACTTACTTACTACACTTTGTTAAACTTAGGACGGAGCTCAGTCTTATTTAATTACAGATGTTTTGATTTGTACGCATGCGCAAACTTATTCATTCGCCACAAACTTTAGCACAACACAACTTTCTCGGTGGAGGGTCTGCTGTTCTGTTCTGTTCTGGTCTGGTCTGGTCCATATCTATTTGTTCTTTTGCCTGGAATGATTCACCCATTCTTACTATCAGATACACCTGTCCTCACATCCCAGGGTATCCTTCGAATGTCTAAATAAAAAATAAATAAAAAAAATCTATCTATGTTTAAAGCAAGTTATTATTCCTAAGGTCATATTTTTTTTATTTTACGTACCTTTTTATTGATCCAAACTGGAGCTTTCTACAACTTCTCAGCCTGACTACTGTTTTCTTGATTGATGATTTGATTTCTTTGTCAAAAATCCTTGTCATCAAATGCAAGTTTTACGTACTGAACTTTAGTTTATGAGCACAACGCAACTTTCTCGGTGGAGGTTCTGCTGTTCTGTTCTGTTCTGGTCCATATCTATTTGTTCTTTTGCCTGGAATGATTCACATTTGCGCTTAAACAAAACACAAGTTATAAATACACTATCAAAGTAAAACAATAACATATTCCCTGAATTTAAACGTGTCCATTCATCTCCCACTGTGATGTTTTTCACACTTTCACTTTCGACTGGGTATTTTTCTGTTATTTACGTGCATCCACTGTCACAGAACAGCTGTAGGAGATGACACAAGTGATAAAAACAGTGCCATACTTAAATTGCACACTTTGATTTCATGACACATAATTAAACCGGGCAGAGTTGTTGAAAATAAATCCTGCTGTTTGCTAATGCTCTTTAACCCATGTGCAATTGAATCCACTCATCAATAGAGCCCCAACCAACCACCAGGCCTGTCGCAAGAGGGGTGCGAGGCCCTGCCCTGACACCTTTTTCCCAGATCTCAGGAAAGTTTTTCATGTTATAATATTTGACATGAATTCAGCACCGCCTCGCGCTGTGCGTGAAGAGATCAGCACGCGCGCAGACGTGTGTCCTCGCTCCAATGCAGCGTCGCACGCACACACGCACGCACCCACACACAAACTGTTACCGCGCTTGGCATTGGTATATTGGTCGCGGTCTTTTTAGCTGACATGGCTCTTTCGTCCTGTGGCAAAATGGCAGCAACTCAAAAGATTGAACCAAAAGGAGTCTTCTTCTTTTTCTAATTGTTAGATTACGGCAAAATGCGCCGAAATGGCTATGAGGCGGAGTCAATATTTGTTATTTTTTTCCTCATCAAATAACGTTTTTGCCATGCCTCCACACTCACAACATACGCTCCTTCTCCTGCTCCTCCTCCTCCACACACTCTGACCACATTTTTATGCCCAAAATCCACTGCACTCACAGTAGCATGAACGTTGGACATACAGTGTTTGCTAATGCTTTTATAATATGTTTTTGATGTGGATATTCGGGCTCAACATTGACAATAACAGCGCTCACACACCTGTTTCGCAGCTCCTCCTCTTCCTCCTCTGGTCACACTCCTCTCTCCTCCTCCTCATACGGAAGACGCGAGTATCCATCTCTCCGTACACTGGGCTCATTCCCGTTACTTTCTTCACTCAGACACTGCTAAAGTTATCTGACAGCTCCGTAAAGGACCCGCTGCGTAGATAGCTGCCCTCGCGCCTGCCTGTTTACAAATCGCTTTTGGTGAAAATTTGACTTCACTTGTAATAATGTACTTTTGAACAAAAGAAATCAGAGGTCCAGAGAAAGGGGATTAGGGGTCCGAATTTGGAGCGCAGTCCGCCCTTTGGGGACTCTTGAACTAGTATATTTATTTAATAAAAAAATAAAAAAAAGGAAGGATTGCGAGGCCCTGTGTGGTGCGAGGCCCTGTGCGACGGCACAGGTCGCACAGCCCTTCCGACGGGCCTGCCAACCAGTATTGTTCAGTTGTTGTTATTGAATATGATTACTCTCATGCCTTCTGCATAGTTGTTGAGATTAACGTTTAACAGGGCCCCATAAATGCATATCAAATGGACACATAAACTAATGAGTTGTTGATAAGACTGTTCTTGAATCCATTGTGTAATATTAATGCTTTTTAGTAGCACAACTTTCTGTTAAAATTTTAAATTTTTATTTGGTTGGGACAGCACATGTTAATGAACTCACCTTTCTGGATTGTTGCATTGGACTCATTTGCATCCATTGTTCCACACTCACATGAACACCCTCATTCACCCTGAACTATTGTACATGTTTTTAGTGATAGGGCTAACCGAAGCACCTGGAGGAAACTTACATAGACACGGGATCGACACAGAAAGGTCCCGGAGGTGGAATCAAATCCAGGACCTTGCTGTGAAGCACAAGCGCTAAACTCTGCGTTCCGCCAAATTCTGGTTTAAGTCTGCGCAAATGCGCCTCCCCACCCCTTCTGTCTAAATGCTTTGTTTTCAAACACCCACTATGTAAAATACAAATTAGATTAAAATGTATCTAGTCAGATGTCTTCAGTGTGTGTGTGTGTTTGTGTGCAGGTGAGCGGCCTAAAGGCTCTGTATGAGGCCGAGCTTGCAGATGCCCGTCGGGTTCTTGATGACACGGCTAAGGATCGGGCCCGACTGCAGATCGACCTGGGCAAAGCTCAGAGCGAGCTGGACGAGGCCAACAGAAGGTGTGTGTCACTCTGAAGACATTTCATTAGATGTCTAATGTCGTACTGTCATAAGAAGAAAATTGCACCAATGCATTGATTGTCATCAAATGCAAGCTTTACGTACTGAACTTGTGGATCTCTCTCGTCAGTGTGAAGAAGAAGGAGGGTGATCTGGCGGCAGCGCTGTCCCGGGCCAAAGCTCTAGAGGACAAGTTGTACCAGAGTGAAGCCGCCCTGTCTACTGCGCTGAGCCAAAGTGCTTCTCTTAGTGCAGAGCTGGAAGATGTCAAGGGCCAGCTCGCTAAGGTACAGCTTTCCAACTCTGAATGGGGTGGACACATGGCCCCCACTGCTTCTTAAACATTGGGTGTATGATATATATAATTTTTGGCAACAGTTTTAAATTTATTTGATGAGGCCTCTGTTGTTAGTCATATTCCTTAGTGATCCTTTGGGAAAGGTCATTTACCAAATAATCTCAGGCTCCCTCTAAAGAGGCTTTCAACACTTTGCACAAGCTGACTGTGATCTGTCCACAGGCTGAGGACGCCCATGCCGTAGCCAAGCGTCAGCTGGAGACCGAGACCCTGATGAGAGTGGACTTGGAAAACCGTTGCCAGTCTCTGACCGAGGAGCTGCAGTTCAGGAAGGGCATGTTTGAGCAGGTCAGAGAAGGTCCCAGTTTTAAAGTTACATCTTTGATCTTCTCAGTGTTCTCATCATCGGTATCCACTAGCACAGCTATAGAGCAGCTGTTTCACACACTGATTCATTCAGGCAGTTTTTAATCACTTTGTCTCTCTCTGTGTGTGGCTTGCGTGGGTGTGCCTGTGCTTTGCAGGAGGTACTGGAGTCGCGGCGAAGGCAGGAGCTGCGGGTTGTGGAGGTGGACTCTGGTGTGAGACAAGACTACGAGTCCAAACTGGCACAGGCTCTGCAGGTACACAACACACCTGCCCCCCTGGAGTATTCAGTTATATTGCTTTATTATTTATACTAATTGGCTAATTGTTTGAAAGAATGTACAGCAAATATTTAATGTTTTATTGATTTGAAAGTGTTCTTGTTTGGATAGTGAAACAAACCTTGTTTTATTTTTGATAGAAGGATATGATTCTAAACAAATCCATGTATTTTATTTTGCTTAACAAGGGGTCACAATAAATCTAAATAAAAGTTCTAAATCAGCTGAATCAAGCACAAGAAGATAGTAGTATATGAGATGTGAGCATTTCTGACAAATATGATGCTAAGCATTTATAAGTGACATTTTCATTTGGAGAAACACGACAGTAAATTATGAAAATAATGTAACCAGTTTTGACTGATAATTTAACCCTATGTTGTAACAACATAGTCATTACATTAATATGAATCACATCATGAACCGAACCAAATGCAATATTCTGAATTGTAACCCACCACAGAATGTAGGTAGATCCTGGCTCAAAGTTTGCTTTAAAGTGGTTGCCTAAAGTGTGGACACCCTGATTTTAGATGACAATTAGAATGTGTGAAGTCCTGTATGTTGTGGTCTGATGATGTTTGTATGTTTAGGATCTCAGGAAGCAGCATGACGAGCAGGTGTCGGTGTATAAGGAGGAACTGGGGCACGCCTTCCAGGCCAAGGTAAAGCACACACACACACACACACATGGGCAAGAGCACTCTCGTTACTGCTTTCACTGCTCACATCAGCACCAGTTAATAGAGCCGACAAAGACTTTTTACCATCTGATATGGAGTTGTTTTTTAGCTCAGGAATCCTCAGATTATAACCCCAAAACAAACGTTTTGCATTTAAACTAGTTTGGGGAATTTCTCTTGTTGATTTGTGTTCTTTTCAACTGCATGCTTTTAATTAGAACATTAGATGCTGCAGAATTAAATTTCTCACTTCTTCCTGTGTTGAGCATTAAATATGTACTTCAATTATTTGACGTATAACATAATGTATTACCTTCTATAGCTCTATGCATAGGTAGGTCAAACACACAAGTACCAATGAAGACAAGTGAAACCGTCAGGTTCTTTGTTTGAATAATCTTTGAATGCTTTCTGATACTGCAGCTGGAGAACGCGAAGGTGTCCTCAGACCTAAACGACAAGGCCATGAGCAGCGCCCGAGAAGAGGTGATCGAGTCTCGCAGCCGCATTGAGAGCCTGGGCTATCAGCTGAGCAGTCTGCAGAAGCAGGTACTTTCCCACTACTACAGACCCCTCTGACAACATATTACATCATCCATTGGTGGAAAAGATTAAAGATACTGTTATTCACATCCCATGTTGCCTCCGCTTTGTACGCGGGGTGTCGCCATACTCACGCTCTTGTAAATGGTGTGTCTGACACGTGTCTACAGATGGCTGCCTCTGAGGACCGTATCCGCGAGCTGGAGGAACTCCTGTCCTCAGAGCGGGACAGGGCGCGGCGCACTATGGAGGCTAAGGATGCAGAGATGAGCGAGCTGAGGGAGCGCATGAATGCCCAGCTGAGCGAGTACCAGGAGCTGCTGGATGTCAAGCTGGCCCTGGACATGGAGATCAACGCCTACCGCAAGCTGCTGGAGGGCGAGGAGAGCCGGTAAAGCAGCAGGAGATGATCAGATGTATGGGTTACACCACATGTGTGAGGGGCAATGAAAACAACACTTTCATCCAGTGGCTTTGATGATCAAGATTTAACACTTACAGACATTATTTTGAGTTCTAAAACAAAAAAATGGCAAAACTTCTAAAGATGATGAAGTTCAGAAATGAATATAACTAATGTAGATGATGTTGTTCCAGGCTGAAGCTGTCCCCGTCCCCCAGCTCTAAGGTGACAGTGTCGCGAGTGAGCAGCTCTGCCACCTCTCGCTCCAAGAGGAAGAGGCAGGAGGCCGAGGAGGGAGAGGAGCTGCTGCTGTCCGAGGAGTCCACCGCCTCCGGAGCAGTCAGCATCTCCCCCACCGACATGGACGGCAACGCAGTCACACTGAGCAACACCAGCGACCAGGTCACTCCCCAACGATTCTATCTTATATTCGCATGCCTTCTTGTACTAACTTGTATCTGGAGAGATCTCACCAGGATGTTCTTCAAATGTAGATTTAATGGTGGTATACAGGTGTCATAGATTGGCAAACAGAAGCACAATTTAACAAACTTTTAATCATCTGTTATCTGTGTGCAATTTCTGCCTCCGCACATCCAGAGACTCTAAACCAGGATCGCACAGTATAAACTAGGTCTCAATGCTGCTTCCTGTCTGTCTGTCTGTCAGAGATCCACAGGTGGAGTTGGGCACGTTGATCTGGGAGAGCTTGTCCTGGAGCAAGGATCACAGGATAGTGTTGAAGGGCCAGGTTTATAGCGTTGTCTACAGATTTGTTGGCTCTGTAGGTGAACTGCAGAGGTGGGGGAGGACCAGGCGCACAAATTCATGACTACTAACATCAGTACCACAGGCCTGTAGTTATTAAGTCTAGGGATCTCTGTCTTCTTGGGGACAAGGACAATGATGGAGAACTTGAAGCAGGCCGGGACGCTCCAAAGAGGTGTTAAAACTGTCTGCAAAGACAGGAGTCCGCTCACAGGTGCCAGGTGAGACACCGTCTGGTCCAGGGTCCAGTTGCTTGATGTAGTGTCGGAAACGTCAAAGCGACTGAATCACTGATTCAGCTGGTCAGTGAGCTTGTGGTCGACAGCACAGTGGAAGGCTTTGGGCTTGTAGTTGGTCGCATCACAGTGTAGGTGGTGAAATCGCAGCAGTGTCGAGCTGTTCAGAGCTCAGATGGGGACAGGCAGGGGGATAAGGAGAGAGGACCGTGCACCGAATCTCTTGACACCCACTTCCAAAAATGCATTGGTAATAATTAAATGTTATCAATCAACAATACCCAGTCTTCTTCTCCAGTTAGTTATGTTTAAATTTTGTAGCTACTCATTTTGTTCAGAAAAAAACTTGACCAAATTCGATAAAAGCATTGTTTTGGTCAAAAGACATTTAATACCATAATGTAAATGGTAAATAAACAAATCCATGCAAAAGACGATCTATAAACCAAACATTCAAAATGAAAACACTGCTGATGTCCGTGTTTTGCTTTGTCTTGTTCAAAATGAGCCAATTCCCATCCATCTATCTCTTAATGTTAAAGAAGCTATAGAAGCTGGGAGCAATATATCAATAAATGTCATATTGTTATAACATGTATTGCATTTTGTGTGGTCGTGAGGGACCCAGAGGCCCAGCCCTCATCGGGACTTCTCTTTTTGACTGCTTTTTCTGTGTGCAGGACCAGTCGCTGGGTAGCTGGAGACTCAGTCGGCAGGTGGACGATGCAGAGCCTTTGGTCTACAAGTTCTCTCCCAAGTATGTGCTGAAGGCCGGGCAGTCTGTCACGGTGAGGACTCCACACATGATGGTGATATGACGGTGATAGAGCATGAATGAAGATGTGTGTGGTGTGTCGTAGGTGTGGGCTGCAGGGGCCGCTGTCGCACACAGCCCTCCCTCTGACCTGCTGTGGAAGAGCCAGGCCTCATGGGGCACCGGAAATGACGTAATCACCTCCCTGACCAACACAGATGGAGAGGTGAGCAGGCTTCTGTACTTTGGCCCAGTGGGAGTGGTTGGCTGTCCACTCACGGTTATGAGAAAGTAGGTTGCCATATTTGCAATTTGGCTTCATGTTACACCCTGGCTCTACAGGTGCAACATGAAGACCAACAGACAACTAAAAGTTAAGATCATTTATTACCAGCAAAAAAAGTCTAGGGAAAGAACACAAAGAAAACCAAAAGAGGAAGGCAGGTGTGGTGGTGAGCAGAGAGAGAGAGAGAGATGGGTGGAGTCGAGGTGTGGCTTTATAGGCTCCCAGCAGGGAATCTGAAGCAGGCTGGAAATCCTGGAACTGGAACCTGGAACTGGAACACGGGTCTGAGTGGCAGCTCCATATAACACTTTATGCGTGTACTTCTGACTGTCCATGCCGAAACACTATGAACACAAAGCAACTTTCTGTGAGTCCAAAGCTTTTTAGTTCAAAACTCAGCTCTTGGGCCATTACTAAGTTTCAATGCTGCAGGTGTGAGTTTTTGTAAAGCAGGTCTGTTTAGCTTCTGTGGATTGTGCCAAAACTACCTCCCTTTTAGACCGTCAAAATTTCAAAACTTGAATTTCAGTCATGTCAATTGAGTAATATACATTTTTTTATCTGCAAACTTGAAATTCTGAATGACAAACTTGTAGTCTTTGTCAGCGGTGTCAACTTGTGTGTGTGTGTGTGTGTACAGGAGGTGGCCCAGAGGAGAGCCACCAGGACCCAGGTGGAGGATGGAGAGCAGGAAGTGGAGATCAATGGCACGGTCAGTGGTGCTTATGGATGTTTTTTTTCTTAAACTACGGATGAAACTATGTTTAATTCAAAGCCCTTTTCACAACATAACATTATTATACAGTGCCTTTAAGTGCCATCTAGACTTCCACATTTTCAAATTCTCTATAAAAGCACTGTTGAACGCTTGGGATTCTTTCTTCTGCTGCTTTCACAAGCCCCGGCTTGTGCTCAGTAGTTCATGGGACTTCACTGAGACCGGGAGATTAGCAGAACTCGCCTATATTTGGGCATCGTCTGGTTCTGTGCAGTGGACGAGCTCCCATGATGCATTGCGCCAAATACGTGTGTGTGGCTTTCATGCACGTGCACTAGGGATGTAAAAAACAAGGAATTTTCTTGACCGACCACCGAGCCTCATTAACCGGTTGAAACCGGTTAACCGCATAGTTTAAAATAGTCCACGTTCTTTGAAATAACAGCCATTTTGAGCCGCTTACTTTTCATAAGTGCAGCTCTGCGTTCTACTGGATCAGAGCAGAGGCAGCGGCGCCCAAACCCGCAACAGCTCCGGCACCTTTGCGCACAGAGAACTGCTTTTTTAATCTTCCCATTCTTCTGTGCTGTGGGTTAAAGCAGCAAACGATGTCTCGTCCACATGGTCAGAGCAGCGAGTGACGAGCCGCGTCTCACAGGTCTTCACTAGACTAGACTAAAGTTTAAATACAAGTGATGTGTGTGGAGCTGATCCCGAGGACCATAAACACAAACATGTTCCATGTGGTTTGACTGGAGCCGCGTATTTGCGCGAATCCTTTGGGCTCCGTGACACAGAGGAGCGCGACAGACCGGTATGTGTGTGTGTGCAATACATTGTATGTGTGTGTGTGTAAATGTAAGCTCCAATGTAGTTCTGACCCGCGCCAGTGTGCAACTTTGACGGTAACAGAGGGGGGTGTGTGTGTGTGTGCAAGTGTGTGTGCATATGTGGCTCGTGCGGCATGAAAGTCGGCCCAGAGTTTACTAAAACATTGGCGCACACAGCTAGATATAGACCCACTCGTCACACCGTGCAAATTGGGCTTAAAATAGTGTTATTAAGAGACCTCCCCTTTTCTTTTTTTTAACCGACAGCTTTGACCGGTTAACGCTGTGACGGTCAACCACCGGTTAAACGCTCACCGATTTACATCCCTAACGTGCACAGAGGGGCTCGGCCACGCTCTGACCAATCAGAGCTGCTGAACAGAGCAGCAGCAGAGCGGAGTCAGAGCAGGAAGGAAAGGAGCAGAGTTTGAGGCAGTAAAGTGTGGATTTAAGAAGAAAAAAAGTGCAGGATGACAAGGGACACTAAAATCCCCACAAAATCCGATATTTCTGAAAGCTGTAGGTTCTCTGTCAGGTTCTCTGTCAGCTGAGGTTGAGCTGTTTTAACTTACATTGAGTTCTATGGGACTTTTTTCTGTGTAGCCTGTGTGAATTTAGCCTGCAGTACCACAGTGCCCCCTGTGGCCATGGGTGGGACAGCTTTAAGCTAGTAATACTCTATACAGTTATTATTATAGATCCATGGCTCACACCAACACGCATATATACACACGCACAGGCACACAGATGTTTGTAGATAGCGGCACTGGGACTGTGTGTACAGTAAACAGCCTGGGACGTGAGCAAAATTCTAAACGGCTTTAAGTGCCTGGAGCACAACTGTTTGTCACACTCTCAATCCTGATTGAATCCAGTCTAGTTTTGTTGAGATCCACCTGAAATGTCTGTTGATGTAAAGTGTATAAGCCTTTGTGCGCTGTAGAAAGCTAACATCCTCTCTCTCTTTCAGGGACGGGGTTCGTCTCGAGAGTGTGCAGTCATGTGATCCTCCTGCTGCCCGTGGCCTGACTTTCCCGAAACACTATTTACCAAGTTTCTTTTTAAAAAAGCGTGGAAATGAAAAACAAAAAAAGTTTGCTAGTTTGTGTGTTTTTAAGACTTTTCAAATTTCAATATATTTTCTGTCCAAGTTAAAGCAGCAAAGGAAATTGACACCGGATCTACATATATGATAATTATGCCTCAACCACCTTGTTTTGTAATAATAATGATAATGTGAGGAAGGACCTTTATAATCTACATTTGAAGACATTGTTTTTTTTATATAATATCAATTGGTTTTATTTTTTTTCTCAAAACAACTGCAGCTACTCATTCTACACTCCTTTAGGCGGACCCACATGTGACATGTTAAAGGTGCACTGCGGCGGTTTGAGCGTCATGGTCCAGCCTCTGCTCTCGGGACATGTCCAGAGAAACAGATTATGCAAAAACAAGGAAATAAATGATCAATGAGTAATGACTAATCTCTGAGGAGGCCACGGGACTGTTGTATTATGTCACTTGTGTTACTTCCACATCATCCCATCCATAGAATTGTTCATATTTTTTATATATTTTTTTACGATTTGTATTAATTTTAGGAATGACGTGCACAGGTCCAGGATAAAATGAATAATCTACTCTGAGCATAAACTGACTCAGCTTCTGCAAATGAAGTCACCCTTAACGCCCATAGATTACATTTACCGACAATTTAGAAGTTCCTGAGGCTATTACACTTCAGAGGTTTTCATTTAAACAATATTCTACAAAATGCTTTACAGAACATCTTTGGCCACACTTCCATCCACAAAAACCAGGAAAGGAAGCGCAATCTGAAGAACAGTCTGCCCCAGGAGTGCATGTATTTACCACTAATGTTAAATACTCCTTATTTTTGCTGTTGTCAAACATGCATATTCCCTGAGAACCGACGCAGTGCAGCTTTATGAATTATTTTGAAGCCTTGAGCTTGAGGTGGAGTATGTGCCTCAAACATTTCTGTCCATTTTGGGCAGTGTCACAATCATGTTTATTTTTACTTTGAATAAATCTTTTGTAATTGTTTTGTGATTCCTTTTTTTATTCTAGTCACAAGCCAATATACCGAGTTGGAAAGGGATGAACTGACAATGTATTGGGATGAGTTCTTGATAACAGGTTTATATCATAGACTGTATATATTATATATTTATATATGTGTTTATATAGATAGATATTACCCCAGGATGGTCCAAGCACTCTTTGAAGGTATATTCCATGGATGTATTAAACCGTTTCAATTTGGACCTTGGACAAGACTCATCCCTGTGTCAGCATTTTGTCCCGTCTATGGTTTAGGTGACCCTCTGACCCAGGGCTCTGAGGTCTGTGGATCAGAACCTCCTGATGGTTCCACGCACTCGCTTCAGGTGCTTCAGAAATGTGCAAACATGTTAAATGCAGGATATTGTGTACAATAAAAAGTGGCAATCAGAAACAGTGTCAATAGTAGTGCAGGTTTTTTCAGTCTTAATGCAGTGACTTAAAGTGACTTGTTGTACAGTCTGACAGCAGTGGGGATAAAGGCCCTGCATAATTTTGTCTTGCAGTTTTTTACATGGTTGTCTTGGCATTTAAAAATGTGTATCTCTATTTTATACTGTGTCTGTTTTTATACTATGTGAAGGGCTTTGTGACCCTGGTCTGTGAAGGTCTACTTAAACAAGCAGTGATGGGTTTGTCCGCTAGGGGGCAGCGCTCCTCAGCGTCACCCTCACGCGCTTCCTGTGGAGTGGTCACGTGACTGCAGTGTCCTGGTGCTGCGAGCTTGGACAGTCTACTGCACATTAATATATCCATGTATTTATAAATATATGTGTATGTGAGAGGGGAGAGAGCTGCCATGCTGCTGGTCCTGTCCGAGCAGCACCGAGAACACCTGTCCTTCCTGACCACCGTGGACACACCGGGTCAGTACTGTCTGTGTGTGTCAGTACCGACCATAGACTGTCTGTGTGTGTGTGTGTGTGAGTACTGACCATAGACTGTCTGTGTGTGTGAGTACTGACCATAGACTGTCTGTGGCCCATTTGTGTGTGTGTGTGAGTACTGACCATAGACTGTGTGTGTGTGTGAGTACTGACCATAGACTGTCTGTGTGTGTGTGTAAAGATATCGTGACAATGACGTTATCGGGAGTGGGTATAAAGTATCAGATATTTATTTTTTGTCCATAATCGCCCCCCTAGACTGTGATGAAGCTTGCAGAATGGCGTAGAGTTCTGGAGGTACAGATATGGTTTGTGTCTGAATGACACGTCTCTGTTTGGTAAGAGGCAGTTATAGTCTGTTAAACTTTTGTTGCTTGATCTACATTTTTCTTTTAGAATGGAGTGATTGAAGACTGTACATCTAATAAGATCGGATAGAGACGGTGAGCCAGTTGAAAACTAGGCATTAACAGGAATTCAGTGAAGGTATCAAGGGGAATAATGAACAAGATATGGCAGTAGATGAAGAATAGCTCTTCACGAGATTGCAGAGTACAAGTTCAAATCTAAAAAAGCCAACCTCCAAAGATTATAGATTATTATATGATGTGCCACAGTCTATAGGCTCCTATATCCATTGTGTCTTTCAGACGGTAATCCACACTGTTTGTGTGTGTTGACCTGGCCTTTCACACCAGTGTCCTTACAGAACAGGTTTTCCACAGTGTATGTGTGTGCGGACCAGGCCTCAGACAAGAGTCATTAAAACCCGGTTTATACACAGTGATATGTGTAGTGCGGACCAGGCTCACAGGCCCATGTGTCCATCAAACCAGGATCTAACAGAGTATGAGTGGTGCGGACCAGGCCTCACAGACCAAGTGACATAAACCAGTTTATACATACGAGAGATGTGTATGATGACATCACTGACCTTGTAAACCACACTGTCCTTATATACCGTGTTTTGAAAAGTATTTACAAAACCTGAAAGTCTTGAAAACAGTCATTTTTATATATAGTGCAGCAAAGAAATCTTTAATTTTAAGCCGTGTATAGGTACTGTGTTTTTTTTCATTATCATTGATATGAATTTTGAGGCACTAGCACCACGGTACCAGAGTCCGAAATACCTATGTACCGTTGGTTTAAAGGGGATTTTAGAAAAAATGTCTTACAAGTCTCAAACGGGTATGTGTGTACTGTAGGGTGTATTCATATGTGTGTCATTCCTTGTACTAGATATTGTTGATAAAGTGTCTTGGGTGTTTTTGGGTGCTTTTGAATAAAATGTATTTATTGATATTATAATAAATATATTATTATTATTAAAATATCAATAAATTACAATTTTATTCAAAAGCCCAAAAAACCCAAAAAAAACCCGAAGGACAACATTATCAAAATATCTTTGAGTACAGGAGATGACAGCACATAGAATGACACCCAACAGTACACACATACCCTGTTTGAGCGTTTTGTTAAGGACATTTTTTCAAAAATCCCTTTAAACGACTGTACATAGGTAAACGGGGAACCTGGGTTCCGTTGTGCTAGAGCCTCAAAATCATATCAATGATCATGAAAAATCACAGAACTCTATACACGGGCTTAAAATTTAAAGATTCCTTAGCTGCACTGGAATATACAAATGACTGTTTTAAGACTTACTTTTCTAGGGAGTTGTAAAGACTTTTCAAAGAAAAAGGTCCTATAAGGACAGTGTGGTTTACAAGGTCAGTGATTTCGATCTTTACACACACACACTATGTGTAAACCTGGATTGAAGGACACATGTTCTGAGAGGACCTGGTCCGCACACCAATACACTTTGTATAACATGGGTTTGAAAAGGACACATGGTCTGAGAGGCCTGGTCCGCACAACATACACAGTGTAAAACATGGTTTGAAGGACCACATGGTCTGTGAGGCCAGGTCCGGCACACACATACACTGTGGGAAAACCTGTTCTGAAATGACACTTGGTGTGTAAGGCCAAGGTCAACACACCATACAGTGTGGAAAACTGTTCTGAAGGGACACATGGATAATGAGGCAAAGAGACTGAGGCACATAATTCATAATAAACAATAAAATATGGAGGATTGCTTTTTTAGGAGTTTGAATTGTCTCTGCAAACACGAGTTGTAGAGCATTATTCTTCAGTACTACTAGCCAAACATTGTCATGTTATACCTTGATACTACATGAATTCCAGTTATTCCTGTTTCACTGGCTTCACCGTCTCATCTGCACTTTAAATAGATGGTACAATACAATTCACTCCATTCTAAAAGAAAATGAGATCAAGCAACAAAAGGTTTACAGACATAACTGCTCTCTTACCACAGGAGACGTGTCAATCACACACAAACTTATATCTGTCTCCACCAGAATCAACTGCCAATTGAAGAATTGCATCACATCTAGGGGTGGGCGATATGGACAAAAATAAATATCTTGATACTTTATACCAACTCGATATACGACTTGACAGGTCAGATATTTTAAAATAAAAAAAAGGTTTACACAAATGATCTGCAATGTTTTAGCTTGCAATGGAATTCTATAGATAAGAGACAGTTGGAGATCAAAAATCGGAAGTTTTTATATTCTGAAGTGCTACAACATATTTGCAAAACATTTACTCAACATATATTAAACATTAACACACATTCAAGAAACACAGAAAAAACACAACCAAAAGGCTCAAAATTTACTGAAATGTAAAATAAAGCAGTGATAGGCATTTTGGCACCATCTAGACCAATGGGGCATCTTTCCTTTCTTAAATGTAATATGTATTGGAAAATAAAAAAAAATATAATACAATAAAAGATATCTTCAAATGGGCGTTCCACGGAAATAATTGTCTACGATATTATTTTGTCCACTCCTACTCACTTCCCACAGGTGTGTCACTGGTTAAGGCGGTTGTCATGAGTGTCCACAGGTCTAAGAGTGTCCAGGGGTGGACACTGGTCTAAGGTGTGTCACTGGTCATGGCGGTCACTGGTCCAAGGACGTGG